TGAAAGGGAGTGAAAAATAAAAGTGTTGAAGGAGAAGCTGATAGACATGGAGGATAGAGAATGGAGCTCCAATCTAAAATGATGAGATAAGCTGTAGTCAATTATATAAAAGGAGAAACTTTCTTGAGCTTTAAAAGTATCTGAGTATGCTGATTTAAGAACTTAATTATATCTTAACCTCTCCCACCAATGAGAACCCTAAGTTGAATCCAAAACAGAAAGAATTATGCAAATGTCCTGGTAGGAAGAAAAAAGAAAAAGGAAAAAGAAAAAGAAACAAAACAAGCTATTTTTAAGGAATACATATGACCTCAGGTATTTTTGTTGCTGTTTTCTGCTGTACTAAATTACAGCAGAATATTTAAAAATGTATATAGAATTTTGGGGCAGTAAGTGGTGGTGCAAGAATTTGTACATAGGCAAGGCAGTCTTTGATTGGGGGAAACAATAAATATTCCTCAGTGAAATATAGACTCGGTTATTATTTATTATCTTTACTGAAAAAAAAGATCGATACTTACTATGGCCATGAAAAAGATGAATGAGGAATAGGACAATTGTGGTATAAAGAGATTAACGTTTCTTATCTGCTTCTTGGAATATACTTGTAGAAAATATTCTCAAATTCATGCTAGATTGGTATTATTATTATATAGTATTAACGAATATCCCTAAAATGATATTGAGTATTGCCCTTTAAATGACAATGAATAACATCATTTTAATGATGACCTAGAATACTGATGAACAGGATGATTTGGTAATGACATAGAACGCACATTAGATTAAATGTCAAATTATCAAAAATAATGCAAAACTAGAGATGGGAGAGAAAGAGAGAAAGTCAGATCTCAACCGTTCTTGTTTTTAAGTTGAATATTGGACTTAAAAATATTGGAGAGTATAATATCAAAAGCATAGGTGTGGTCATTTTAGGATAGAAGGATATAGAGCGATGTGTAAGTTAGAGAATAAACTATGGTAATGAAGAAGTCAATAATGGTCAATAATGTAGTGGCTCAAACGAAACAGAAGGGTGCTTATTTCTCACTCAATAGTCTGGAAGCAAACTTGTAGTTTAGACTTGGTAAGAGACTGTGCTCTTAAAGCTCATTCAGGAACTCTGTTTCTCTAACATTCCTGAGGGTATGGTCCTTGTCCATTTGCTTAAAGCTGGTCCACTGTGCCAATCTGTGATATAGACTATGAGAAGGTGGGTTAAATAGATTTCTTATGAAAACGTGATTAAGAAGGTATATATCACTTCTAGTTGGATACCCTCATGTAGCTACAACAGATCCCAGAGAAGACTGTCTTGAGCTGGGCTTCAGTGTGCCCTACTGAAATGCAGTGGATACCAAAAGAAGAAGAAAAAGAACACAGAAGGTGTTTTAAGCTATGTCTAATACAAGAGGACTTTTTCTTATTAGTATTTTTCTATAATTTTAAATTTAAAAATGGGTATGTATTCCATGTATAATTCTGAAATGGCACACATGCATGCATGCACACACACACACACAAACTTGAAAAGAGGAATCCTCACTGGGTTTGTTCTATACTACCTCTTTTAAAAAGGTCACCCCTTATAGGCCCCTGCATACCGTACAGATATTTTACTCCCTTATTCAAATTTCTAATTTAAACATCAAGGAGGGAACAATAAAATGAATGATCTAGTAGAAGACATAATCTCAGAGTAATTTCTCCAGCACTTTCTAATAGACCAGAATTTTGTTTTTATTTTATTTATTATGCTTTTACAGCAGATCAGCCCTTCTGAATACAGTTGTTAACTTGAGTAATAAATTGAGAAGAGATTAACTGAGATAAGCCCAGCTTAGATCCAGGAGTGGTGGGAAGTTGTCCTGGGATAGAAATTCCCACAGATTAAATAGAATTTGCTACACATCAGTATTTTATATTTGGTTTTGATATTATGCTTTCTGACGGGATGGATAACAACACTTCCCTTCCTGTGGATTAGAGAGAAATCTTAAGAGGTTCTCCAGAGAGTGTAAAAACTTCAGACCTATTTATTTCCAATTATAGGCTTTGACTTTTAGATCAAACCTCATGTTCATTTTTAAATTTTGAATCATCAGTGGGTTTTAAAATATTGCTAATTACAGGAGGCATAAATGTTAAAGTGTTAAAAATATTAAAACTGAACAATCTTCCAGAAAAAAAATGTTTTCAGTTGAATTTCTCAACTAATGACAATGACAATGTGGGTGTTTAGTTGTTTATTTTATCTGACAAACACAAATGATGCAATGACACATGAAACACAAAACTATTGATGAAATATGAAAGCTATTCAATGGAAAACATTGGGCATGGATAGGATGGTTTTATAACTAGTAGAAAATGTTCATTTAGGGACAAGATAATTGTTCTGCCAATCTAGATCCTGTGGATTTAATAGTCTCCTTGGGTGTTTTTCATAGTTGCTCCATTTCCCCCTATAATTATGGTGTCAACTTCTAAGTAAATATAACCACTTAATAATCTTGATATTGGAGGTCAATATTAGCAGCCAGTTATGGGATAAAATGATTGCTTTAAGCTTAAAATGAGTGGATAATAAAGTTGATAATAACAGCTAACACTTACTATGGGGACAGGCATATTTGAAGCATTCCCTGCACTAATTCATTTAATACAGAGTCTTCTGAGGTACATATTATTACTATCCACACTTTACAGATAAATAATTCCTTTCTTTAATTTCTTTAATACTTTTTCTGGGTGTGTATATGTGTTTCAGAATGTTCAGTGAGGATGCTAATTCCTTTAATACTTTTTCAGGGTGTATATGTGTTTCAGAATGTTCAGTGAGGATGTTTGTGTGTTCTTGCCATAGAAGGTTAGCAGAGAGTAGATTGTAAAAAGAAAAGTAAGTTATTAGAGGGATATCTCCAAGAAGTCAGTTATAATTCCAAATATGTGGCTTTCTACTAGACGAGTAGGTGGCACTCCTCTGACCAGCAGGCCAAGAATGGGCTGTGCTGGACAACTAAAAGTGGTGTCTTCTAGAAAGGAAAGGCATTCAGGTAGTAGTAATGAAGGAGAAAGAAAGGGAGAAAGAAAAGGAGAAAAAGAAGTAAGAGGCAGAGCAAATAATAATGAGCATTTACTGAGTGCCTGCTATGAGGTAGATGCTGTTGAAATTGACCCAGTTGTCCTATAGAGCTGATGTTCATGGTTTCTTTGAGTAAACATAGAAACTGATCTTCCCAGTCTTAAACTTGAGAAAGTTATATTTGTCTTATCTGAGTTCCCTTCTCAGGAAACCAACCATCAGGCCTCCTAGACAGTAGCAAGGAGCTGGAACTCACCAGATCACTGCATTTGGACAATAATATTACAGACCCTTCGCCCCCTTATGATTGCCGAACCAACCACCTGCTTCCTGTTGATCAACTCCTCTTCCTTATCCCTCCCTAATTCCTGTTTTCTCACACATGGTTACACGCTATACAGACCACCTAGTTTTAGTCAGTCAGGAAGATGGACGTGGGACTGATCTCCCACCTCCTTGGCTGTAGCACCCAATTAAAGCCTTCTTCCTTGGCAATACTCATTGTCTCAGGGATTGGCTTTGTGTAGGGTGAGCAACAGGAGCTAGACTGAATTCCTGGTGTTTTGGTAACACTGTATTTGCATTACAGTGATTGTCTCTGCACACAGATGAGACACATGAGACCGATAAATAGATACCACTGAAGTCATGGCCAGGAGGTGGCAGTGCAAAGATTCCTACCCAAGCTTCCTCATCTGTGAACAGAACAGGAAGGCCTCAGTAAATAGGTACTTGTTGACAAGCAACAACCAACTCAAAACTCATCTCTTGGTATCAGTACACCATGTGACTCCCTTGTTTGTACTTCTGCAGGAACATTCCAGGTAGATAGGTCCTCATTATGTCTTGTATCTGTTGGCATATTCATATTCCATGCATGCATGGCTTGTTTATTCAGCTAGAGCAAGCGCTTCTTTAAAGGGGATGTTTTGTTTCTTTCACTCATAGTTTTTGCTATGTAGCCTCAATCAGTGTGGCCTTCAATAAACTACTTAACAAGGCTTTAGTAAAGTGAAAATAGTTATGTGCAGGCTGCAGCAGGTGAACCAACATGTATTTTCTCTGTTTCATTTTACTGATTGTTCAGACGATTTCTGTGGGCTCCACTCTGCACGTCTTTGTTCATGGGTTCCTTCCACCTGAAATAGCTTTCTATCCTGTCAATATTCTTCAATGTCCATTGTAAATGTTATACAGTCCAAACAACATTCTCTGATCCTCACATGTATTGATCTCTCCCTCCAGTGTTCTTCCAACTTCTAAATAATACTTACCTCAGTCTCCCTTTTGTTTTTCCCCCTCCCCTTTTCCAGCCAGTGTGCACGTGTTATTTCCCACAGGGTCTGTGTGTCAGTACCCAGCATACTGACTTGCACACCCACCCACCCCAGCGTTTCTGCCTGGGAACACCCAGGTATCTGTGTGACTCATTCACTTCATCAGAGAGGCCTTCCTTTCTGGATTCTGCAGGAGCTGACTCTGGGACAAAGATTAGAGGGGCAAGTAGTTTTATTTGGGAGGTGGTCCCAGGAAGCTTCTGCAGCAGAGATGAGAAGAGGAGAAAGGCAAGACAGGGTGTACTAACAAGCGAGGGGGCAACTGGAGCCCAGCCCACCCCTCAGAGTTCCCCTTCCCCACCGGGCAGCAAGCTAGAGCTTACTCTCCACCTCCCTTCCTGTCCTTGGGAGAAGGTCACTTCTGGGGACAAGACCTCTAAGACCTTGACTTCCCCCTGGGAAGATGTCATGTGCTCCTGCTGGAAAGAAAGACTCCAAGAGAGCTGCAGATGTTCCCAGTATCTGGCCTTTGGGATGTGGAAGAGAGTGCAGGTGACGCGGGTCTGGCACAACCAAATGCACACAGCCACACCCTCTATGATTGTTCCCCCTTGCCTCTCTTTCTGTCCTTACTTTACCTTCATTAGCTTCACAGCAGATACCTCCAGTTGCTACAGATTTCAAATTCAAAAGCACGTGGACTTATTCTTTTTCATTCCTTGTGGTACCCCCAGAACAACATCTGGCACATAGTAGGTGCTGCATGAATACCTATGAAATAAATGAGTGAATAAATATGTGTTAAATTTAAAGATTAATTCACTGCATTGTTTTATGTATTTTTAATTCACAAATAATTTTATAACTTTCAGTGCATCATTTATTCAATTCTGTATTTCAAAGATTCTATTTTTTAATGCATATTGTCTGCTAAAGTATTTGAAAATGACTTTAACTTAGGCAATTGTAAAGTTGCTGCGACAACTTTGGCTTGTTTAGTTTTTATTGTATTTTTCAATATATTTCATACTTTTCAATAAAATGGGAAGTCTTTAGGTCGAACATTCCTTTATTTCACCACATTTTGGGAAAAAAACTATGCTACATTATCACAACTATATGTATCTATATCCTCTATCATCTATTCACGTCTATATCTTCTTTCATCCATCAATATCTTCTATCTATTATCTATCTTCTATCTGTATCTTCTATCTATATCTTCTATCTATATGAAAGGAATAATCATATCGCTATCATAATATATTACATATGTATGCACTGGTCATGGTGATATAGTAACTTGGCAAAGAAGAACTCCTCAGATGCAGATGTTTTGCTTTATAGATGAGGAAACTGAGACTCAGTGTTTTTGTGAGTTACCCATGGTCACGTTGCTAAACCGTGGAGACCAGGACTGGGATCCAGGTTGCTCTTTAGAAGAATGTTTTTTCTACCACATGATGGAGACTTTTTCCATAAACTGCTGTATTATGTGTATAAGCCACTTCCCTTTTGCATGGCATGGCTCTTAAAAGAAGAGCACTTCAAATATTAGTTAATCCCAAGTGAACATTTGAGCTTGAGTGATATGATGATTCTTATAAAGGGAGACATCTGTGTGAGGCAGAAGGATTGGCCATAGGTCAGAGAATGATTTGTTTGAATTCAGAGGTTATCCTTGGATATTGGAAAAGTCCTTGCTTATGGCTCAGAGAGAAAAAGTTATGCAAATCAGGGAGCTGTGTTCTGCCTTCAGTGCATCTGGACCTTGGTTAAATAAACACAATTTCCCCTGTAATCTTTATCTCAGCATGTGCTCCGTCTCTTAACTCTTGAGTCATTTCTATAGAAGGCCAATTCAGCTTGAGTGATTTTCTTTCATCTATGGACTTTATTTTTCCCTAGATCAACTGAATATTGGGGCATCATTTACCATCAGCAACAGAGAATTCTTTGTGTAGGGGAAACATTGGAATCAATGTGTTATTACAGGGGGTTGAATTGCAGTAACCCATAAAAATCATCTTATAATTGTCATTGTCTCCTGTAATCTATTCTCTCCCTTTCCAATACAAAGCATGAAGAAAGTTTAGCCAACCTGATGGTTGTATTTCTGTTTCCAGAAACATAAGCACCAGACTTAAAGCACACCACCCACGATGCCCAGATGGCAAAATGCTTCAGCCTTCACTAATGTCTTACACTGCTGCTGAGGCATGTGTCTGTGCTGGCCGGCCTGGGCCTGGCAAATGATGTGCCGTCTTTCTGCGCACAGCGGCTCAAAAGCCATGATGAGGCTTTGTCTGCTGGAACGAACAGATAACAATTTAAGCAGTTGGCCTCTGAAATTTCATTCATATTTATGGTCGTTTCTATTTTTCTACATTTAAACCTCAGGAAGTAGATCAGAGATTGCAAATTTCCTCCCATAAGCAGGGACACAGGTTTCCAGAATGTGAGTGTGTATGTTTATTTCAGATTGAGCATGTGGGCTTGAGAGAGACAGAGAAATAGGAAGAAACAAGCCTTTCTGTGGGACACTTGGTTGACCCAATAAATTCACTTTTCTTGATGGGGTCAGTTTGTTCTTTATTATTTCCTATTTCACCTTATCTTGGGTTTATTTGATCATTTCTTTTACTAAGTTCATGAAACAAATGCTTAGCTTATTAGTTTTCCAAGTCTCCTTTTTTTTTCCTAAGATAGGCATTCAATAGAGTCCACGCATCCTCTATGGTCATTGATTCCTGAGCCTTCATTATTCCTGCAAATGTTCCTGTGGTTTGGCCTGACAAGTACTGCTCAGGGCTGATCTGTGCCTGTGAAGGCCCTGGCCAGCACAGGTAGCCCACTGCTGCTGAAGGATGGGAACAGATGTCCAGTTCTTGACATATTGACTCTGTCACATTGGGGCCTGCCCCAGCAGCCAGGTCCAGCCAGGTCCATAGAACAGCAGCAGCAGCAATTACCACTCCACGCTGCCACTTAGGGTCTCGCAGATTGTGCACTGCACAGTTACTGGGAGTGACAGCCCTTCACAATTGTCAGAGACTTGTGTACTTACTGCTGTGGTCTGAATGTTTGTGGGCCACAGAATCCATCTGTTGAAATAATAACCCCACAAAGATAGTATTAGGAGGTGAGGCCTTTGAAGAGGATTAGTGCCTAATCCTAATTCCCACTTTCTAATGGCACCTTGTTCTTGAACTTCTCAGCCTTTGGAACTGTGAGAAACAAATTTCTGTAGTTTATAAGCCACTCCATTTATGGCATTTTTGTTATAACAACCTAAACAGACTAACACAACAGGAACTGTTTAGCTGATGGGAGTAAAATATCCAGAGGAAGTGTCCTTTTTCCAATTTGCACTTGTCACTGGATGGGCTGCTAGTGCAGCTGCCTTATTTGACTAAGTGGAAAGAACCCTTCAAGCTCACCCACTTCCAGTCCCTTCTGTTGGCAGCCCTGCTCACCTATGACCTGAAGTAGGGTCCCTCCAACCGCAGTCTCACTTTTCTTGTTCATGATAGGACTTTGCCTCTGCTGTGGACAGTTGGCCTCAGCTCATACCTTCTCACAGTGTGATACATCCATGCATGTGCACCCACACCCACATTCACATCCAGCTCCCCCAAAACACACAATAACATGGTGCCACTGCAGCTCCATGTGGCATGTAAATAAGGCAAGCCCTTGCCAGCTATGCTCTGTGATTCCAACAAGAGGTTCAGACTGAGTCCACTGCTATGGGTTTTCCTTTGAGAAGTGCTCAGCATGCTGAGCTGAGCTCAGCTGAGCTCAAATATCCATGCTGTTGGGTCCTCTCCTCTCTCTTCTGGATACCCTTGGACCACCTCAATCATCTATGCTCCTAAGATACAGGCACAGTCTGGGTTGCAGTGAAGGTTCTGAGCAGGGTAGTGGCATTTTCCCACTCCTTGCAAATTCTTCTCCATTCTTTAGTTTGACACCTGCTCTTTTAAAACCAGCAAGCATCAGTATAAGGTTTTCATATGGATGTGTAGAATGGACTCACACGGATATTTGATAAAAAAGAAGAGTGTTTGATTTGTATTCATAAAAAGAAAACAATAGAATAAGTAAGACATGTGTGTAAAACAGAAAAAATAGAGGCTTAAAAACCATGTCGCTTATGCAGACACTGTGTTGACAGCGATGAATATACCCCACTCATTTGCTGAGCCCTGAGGTTACTTGAGGTCATGAAAATCCACTGACACAGGCTGAATCAATTCTGCTAAAGGCCTTTTAGATTCAGGCTGATGGTTCCACTAAAAGTTACACACACACACACACACACACACACACACACACACACAGAGCAGAGAGTGGGAGAGTACTATAGAGGCATTGGACTTGCTAATCCATTGAGTTCTTTAATGCAAAGGGACACTCTGTCTTTCCATTATTGTCAGCCATGGGATGAAAAATATTGCATTTGACACATCTTTTATACAACCCTACTTAGCTATGCATTTCTATGGCAACGATCAGTGTAGCACCCAGATCCTCATTAATCCTCTCAATGTCCCTATTTGGTAGGCAGCTGGCAGCTAATATAGTCTCCATTCTGTAGATGGAGTGAAACTTTACTGTCATTTGTCAATATTGCTGGGAAGGGAAGAACTGTTTAAAATATTTCTAAGCAGACATAGTCCTGTATTAAAAGTTTTGGCAAACACTTTCTTGCTATTATTTTCTATATTTCTCCCTCTGTTTCTTGAGGGGGGACTTACCTGTACATTCACCTTACCCACATCCTGCTTTTAGAAGCCTCTGTTTCTTCAGTGTTAAACAGAGAATGGGAGTAGCATTACTCCCAGTTTCCTGTGTTTGCAAATAAGTAAATGGAAGTCTTTCCTAGTGTCTATCTCCTGCCTGCTTTAGATAAAAATAACCCACTGCCAGGTTTGGGATCCACTTTCTGGTTCTGACAGGTTCTTCATAGAAGCAGTTTATTTGCCAGCATCCAGCTGTTCCTGTAGCAATTTCGAAACATTTTATGTACTTAATTTTTAATCCTTACCTAATTCCATGGGTTAGCATTCAGTCAATAGAGACTGATATCACTCCAAGGGCTTACACAGTCTCCAGCTGGAATCAGGCACTTTGTCAGATGAGCAAAGAAAGGTGGTTGATTTGCTTTCTCTGACAGTAAGGAGACAGACACCTTTACCTGCCACATGTGAATGGCATTGGGGGCTGCCTCGAAAGCACAAAATGGTTTTAGAAAAAGAGGGAGCTTTGAAAGACTAAGTGATATGGGAGAGCATTACCAGCTTGCTAGGTATATGCATTAGTTCCAACTTCCACCCTAGTTATTTATTTATTGCACTATTGTGTCAATGTCAATGTTGTTTAAAATGTGGGAAGCTTTAGTCAGCACAGAAGATCTGTTCGTAAAGGAGAGTCATTATTAAGAACCCGTGTTCCTGGAATTAAACCATTGACTTTAATCAAATCATATCCTTATAACAGTTGGATATGATAAAACATGATTAAAGGTATTGTATATGAGGCTTTCTCACAATATATAAAAGTAAGATAAAGTCATTGCATTTCTGCCTTCTATCAAGTCCTCCAGTCTGTTACCAGCATTAATATGTGATAGAAATAATAATAGACTAGTGTAAGCAATTAAAATACCTGCCAGTGAGTTTAAATATGTGTCTGGCTCAGAGCCATAGAAAGAACTTCAAATTGGAAGATTATAATTACATCTTCCAGTGATTAAGAAAAAAAGT